CTAGTAGCGGGTATCAAGGAACTACTACGTAGACCGTGGGCGGTTACTATGAAACACGTCTTCCGTGAAGCGAATTTTGCGATTCCTGGCCTCCTTCGCGGCGGAAGGCCCTTTGGGTTACCGATTCTTTCAGGATCCACCGGAGGGGATTCGTCATTGGTTACACCATAATCTAGTTGGCGTGGCCTATCGACGATCCACTTGCAATCTAGCTTCCTAGCCGTGTAGCCTCATCCATTGTACCAAAAAAAAAAAAAAAATATTTATATTTTTCAAAACAAAAATGAATATTTTATAATGTGAAAATACCAACTGTTTTTTTTTTTTTTTTTTTTCAAAACGAATATAACCAACTAATATGTTTGACTAAAATAACTTAGAACGTACTTATGTTTGACTTTTTTTTACTGTAATTAATGTGAAACCAACTCGTATTGATTACAACGTAATGCGAGTTGGGTACATATATTCCCGGTGTTATTATCATGTCATAATTTTTGACCATGGAAAATGAAAATTAGAATAATCTTTATTGACCTTAATTAAAAACAATGGGATATTATAATTTTAACAGTAATAATACTGAGCTGTCTAACATTTATATTCACAAAATCAATGTCCTCTCCTTGAAATCAAGTGACGTTACATATGTCAAGTTGCTAAACTTTATGAGTTATTTAATTGATATTTTAATTTGTTTTTTTTTTTTAAAATATGAGTTATCTAACTTATTTAATACTTGTTAGATTTTTTAGGAGTTTTTATATTTAAAAGGGGCGTATTCATTTGAAATTTCTAAATATTTTTTTCAAATATCATAAATTCTGGTGTATTTAAGTTTTTAAAAGTATCATGTTATTATTTGTTTGAGATTTTAGAAAGTCTTATAAAATCTTTAGTTATTTCGTGTATTAGTTTGAGATTTTGAGTGACATTTTGAGACTTTTGAGATTTGAGATTTTTTAAGATTTTTTGAGTTACGAGCAATCATGTGAAATCTTAAGTTTGAAGGTAGTATTTTGAATGAGATTTTCTATATTTTTTTTTCTTTTGAAAATCCCAATAAATCTTAATAAATCATAGTATCAAATAAGTTAAAAACATACGAATTTCATAAGACTTTTTTAAATCTCAAATGAATAACTCGAGACTTTTAAATTAAATACACTAAGATTTCCAAAATTTAAAAAAAAAAAAAACTTTAGAAATTCCAAACGAATTGAGTCTAGGATTTGTGTAGACAAATTTCATAGGATTTTTCATAAATTTGAAAATAATAAAAACTCTCAAAATGTGACTCAATATCCTAAGCTAATACACCCCTAAGGTATTTATGGATTTCACTTAAATCCACAAAGCTTAAAAAATATGGATTTAGAAAAATCTTAGTGGGGTTTATTAATTTATGATTTTTAAAAACTTAATTAAAATTTATAAATTTTGGTAAATTTAATTTAAACTTTTATTACAAAGTCTAAATTAAATATAGATTTTTAAATAGTCAAGGCATGTTTAATTTACTTAATATTGAAATTTGTTAGTAAAGATTTACTGACACTTCAGACACAAATCATATATGCCAAATTTAACCACCAAATCCCAACTTAAACTTATAAATATTTCACTAAAATCAACATTTTCCTAAAAAAAAAAACCTTGAATTTATTAAAATATTAAAAAAAAATCACCCAAAATCTCAAATGAAACTCACTTTAAAATGTCATTCAATATACATTTCTTAATAATAATTCATTGATTGAATCAATGTTTTGAAATTGAAACTCACTTTAAAATGTCATTCAATATACATTTCTTAATAATAATTCATTGATTGAATCAATGTTTTGAAATTGTTGGATCGATAATTTTTTATTAATATTTCTAAACATTATATAGTATTTTAGATGATAAACTTAATTTATACAACCGTTATTAATTACATATATAAAATCATCTAAAATTGGTTATTATACAAATACATAATTATTAAATTTTAATTACTTAAAAGTACATATATTCATTCACATTAAAAATACATATTTAGAAAACAATGGAAAATTTTATTTTCTAAATAATAAATATTTAATTATTTAAAATTATATGTATTCATTTATGTTAAAAAAAAAAAAAAAACTTTTTTAAACATGTTGAAAGCAATTTTATAAAAAATAAATAAACAAATCGGCCTAACTGACCAATTTCGAGCTGCTCTCGATAAATTTCCTTGCATTTTTTAAGATCGAGTTGATCAGGTGATCGATTCTTAATCTAACCTATCGGACTGACGGGTTTGTTCAAACTACTCAATGTTTTTTTTTTTTCTTTTTCTTTTTTTTTTTGAGGATATAAAGTCAATCCCAAATTCCCAATATATACCATATATCATAATATAAATCATTCCAAATCAATTTAAGCTATGATAATTAAAAAATAAAACTGATACTTATCCAATATAATTAAGAAGAGTAATGCTATAGGTACATAATGTTGTAAATAGAGGTGTACATAACACTCACATTGAGTGTGACTTATTAAAATAAAAAAATCAAGTGAACCCCACTACATGTGAGTGTTATGTACATCTTTATGTACATTTATTATGTACATGTAGCATTTTTCAATTAAGAAATAAGAATACAAAACACTAGCACTGTCAAAACGGGCCATGGCCCGCGGGTTGGCCCGCCCGCCCGCCTAAACGGACGGGCTTGGGCCTTTGCTTGGCCAACCCGTTCAATCGCGGGCCTATTTGGCCCGCCCCTGGCGCGGGCCGGGACGGGCCGGACCGCGGGCCAGCCCATTTTTTTTTTTAAATGACAAGTATTGTACATTGTATTCTTTTTTTTTTGCCTTGAATTTAATTGTATAATATAAATATGAAATAAAATGTAATTTTTTTTTTATGACAAGTATTGTATTATTTTTTTTTCTCGAATTTAATTGTATAATATAAATATGAAATAAAAATGTAAAGACGTGAAGAATTTGAGCAAGGTAGAGATTTGATGGAGCTGACAAAACATTGGTCGTCCACTTTTAAATGTCTCAATCCAATCACTTTCCTTAATATAGCATAATAGCAACAACAATTTTTAAAAATAGTCAATTATTAAAGGATGAACGTTTTTAATTTCATTTTGCATTTTACCACAATCAATCACAATATATGGTCACCATCGAGATCAAAATGTTGTACAAGTAATTCTATTCTCATTGTTCATTTTTTCCTTTTAAATTTTTGAATTTAAAAACCAAAATTGCATTATAAATTGCAAAAAAAATAATAATAACAATAAAAAAAACAGTAAGTAAAAAAAAAAAAAAACGCCGGTGGGCCGATTTGGCCCGCGGGCTAATGCGGGCGGGCTACGGGCCATGAATTTTCCAACCCGTAGAAATGCGGGCCATTTTTGGCCCGCCCCGTTTGAACCGCGGGTCAGCGCGGGCCGGACCGGCCCAGCCCGTTTGACAGTAATAAAAACACAAAGACTAGAGAAGATCCTCATCACCTACTTTGGGGACATTTTGCAGAGCAATAATTTACAATTTTTACACACACACAACACAAAGAATGCAAAAAATTTACAATCTGATTGAAGTGACCCACCACCACCACCATTACTCACAAGCTCTGCAATTGCAAACACCCTTTACCTTTCATTTTCTTGTTTGACAAAACATTGTAGTAATAAATTATGATTTCTTTATTTATTTTAATAATATCAGGCCTAGAGAAAATAAACCCCACAAACCAACACACAGTACACTACACACACTCTCAAATCTCAAGTCATTGAGAATTGAGATACAATCCATCTGTCTCTATCTTCGTATAAAGTAGTGGGTTGCATTTCCTTTTCGTTTCTTTTGGGTTTTTTTTGTTAGGAAAGATCACATTTTGAAGTTTGAAAAAAAAAAAATTAATCTTTTATCATATTTATTATATATATATATATATGGCGTGGGGTTTTTTATTGAATTTATCAGTCCCTTTTGTCTTCTCTTTGTGGGGTTTGAGCAGATTAGACCGAACTCATTAAGTATTCAAAGTTTTCTTGGTTGAAGGGATTCTGCATTTTATGCTGCCATCTTCAAATTGAGGTACGAATCATTAAATTACAAGGAGTTGATGATTCGCATTTGTCTCTTGAAATAATTTTCGTGGGATTTTAGGGTTTGATTTTTAACGTTTGTTTTTGGGATTGATTTGTTTGTGTAAAGATCCTTGCTTTTTTTTTTTTTGCTGAATTCATACTAGTATTGGGAAATGGTGTATTGGGGAAATGCTAAAGTCCCGTTACGGAACCATTCCGAGTTAGATCATGTAACCGTAGTGTATCTAACGGTTACAAACTCCAACGGAATGATTCCGTAACGGGACCGTAGAATCTCCCTGTTGTATGGATAGGTTGATATTTTGTTCCTCTAACTTGGCTTTGGTGAAGTTCTTGTAGGGGAGATGAAATTTTAGTTAATGTGGTTTGTGTGTAGGTGAGCTATTTCTTGGTTTTATATACAGTATGTTTCACCTAAAATCTTAAGAAAATCACTTGTCTTTTTTGAGAGGTGCATATTGGCCATTTGATTTTCTTGAATCAAAATAATGTTCAAATTTATTTTTTGTTTGGAAACTGATAATTTGTTTCCACATCCCAAAATAAATTAAAAACAAATATTTCTTTTTTTTTTTCCTTTCCTTATTTTTTTTTTAAATAATCCTAAAAGTTCTTGATTTTATTTTTTTATTTTTTTTTTGGGTATTTTTTGTGAGTAGATCTGCATTACTTGTGTTAAATTTCTTATATTTAGTGCATCTTATAGCAACTAAATTACAAACAAGAATGTGCAACACTTGCAATCTCTTATTTGGAATAGTGGCATATGCTTTTGTGCTGATTAACATTTTTCAATTTTTTTTTCCTTGCTCTACGGTTTGCAGTTTGGAGCCCGGTAAAATTCGGGATAAATAACCCAAAGAGGTTGCTCTTGAATTATATAAAATGGAGAACTATGATGTCTTGGAGCAGATTGGGAAAGGCTCCTTCGGTTCTGCATTGCTTGTTAGACATAAACAAGAGAAGAAGAAGTGAGAAAAAAATACATACATGCCAACAGACAGCTAAAATTCATAATTTAAGATCACAAAATGATTTTTTTTTTTTTTTATGATTGTAATTTATGTGCATAAATATCTGATTTATTTAAACTTGTTTTTTTTTTTCTGCTCAATTTTGAAAAGGTATGTTCTGAAGAAAATCCGCCTTGCTCGACAGACTGATAGAACACGTAGATCTGCTCGCCAGGAGGTGCCTGTTTGATTTGCGATATTCTGCAAACAGTTTTATATTGGACACAATAATTAATGCATATACACCTCACAGTTCAAATAAAATATGCCAACTTTCATTCATCCCTTAGTATATATTGTAATTGTGAATTTTTCGTGTTTTTACTGTCAAAGATGGAGCTCATTTCCAGAGTTCGAAATCCGTATATTGTCGAGTACAAAGACTCCTGGGTGGAAAGGGTATGTACAGAATGCATGAAAAACAATTTACCCCACAGTAATGGCAATTTTGACTGTTTACATGGATTTTTTCGGCAGGGTTGTTACGTTTGCATTGTGATCGGGTACTGTGAGGGTGGAGACATGTGAGTTGCCTTTTTATCAAAAAAAAAAAAAAAAGGCAATCGAAAAATCATTGATTTGAATATGTTGTAGATTTTTTATTTTTTATTTTCTGAATTTTTGGAGTTTTTGTTAATATATTTAGGGCTGAAGCCATTAAAAAGGCCAATGGAGTTCATTTTTCCGAGGAGGTTGTTCTATGAGCTCTGCTTTAATGCTCGTTTTTTTTTTCTCTGCTCATTTATGATATTAATCTGCATTATATTTTCTGAATTATGTACAGAAACTTTGCAAGTGGCTGGTACAACTATTGATAGCGCTCGATTACTTGCACACTAACCACATTCTACACCGTGATGTGAAGGTGTAATATTATGCGGCCTTTTTAACCTAATGTAAAGCAATGAATATTAATACATAACTAAATTCCCTTTTCATTTCTTTTCATTTCAGTGTTCAAACATATTTCTGACGAAAGATCAGGACATACGTTTAGGTAACCAATTATGTTATTATTATTATTTCTTTATGTCTGCTAATCTTTGATGGGATTTGAAATAATTCGGTTATTTTTTTTCAGGGGATTTTGGTCTTGCTAAAATATTAACCTCTGACGAACTAGCTTCTTCTGTGAGTAATAATGACACTACAATGCAAAGCTTTTCAAGATTTTTCCTTATTTCCATAAGTTAAATTTGTCTTATATCTGATATATATTGCAGGTTGTGGGCACACCGAGTTATATGTGCCCCGAGCTTCTTGCTGATATACCATATGGTTCAAAATCGGATATTTGGTCCTTGGGTAAAAATTTCAAAGGATCATTTTATTTTGCTGTACACTCGGTTATACATTTAATTTCTTTTATGATTATTTTCATACTCTCAAAACGCCTTCTCCAGGATGCTGCATTTATGAAATGGCTGCTCACAAGCCTGCATTTAAAGCCTTTGTAAGTAAAAAGCGCATTACGATTTAGGTATTTATCTTGATATTGATACACGTTTGTGCGAACGGAAACCATGTTAAGCCATTTATATAAATGGCGCACTTGATAAATTGGGTTAGAGCAAGTAAGCAACTAACTAAGGAGAACTCCCACATTTATCCGAAAGGCTTGTGAAAAATGGAAGTTCGATATTTTTTCCGCTGATGATGTAATTTGCTCCATGAACAGGATATACAAGGTCTGATCAACAAAATAAATAAATCCATAGTAGCTCCACTTCCAACCATGTATTCTGGTCCCTTGTAAGTCTTGTGGATTTGTTCGTTTTCATTCAAGTCTGCACAAACAGTAAAATTATTTTTGGTCGATATAACTCTTGTCACTTTCGCCAACTCACGTCTTTCATTTTCCCAGCCGTGGGCTCGTTAAGAGTATGCTCCGCAAAAATCCCGAGATTAGACCGAGTGTACGATCAATATTCTTTCCCTAGAACTTTTGAGATTGGTATATTTTGCTCGGCAAAAATGCATTTTTAGTCACCTCATAGCAATTTTTGTCCCAACATTCGAACTTTTCGTCTTTTTGGTCGTGTGATTTTATATTTTGCTGAGGACTGAAATTGCAACAAAATTCTAAATTACAATACTTAAGGGCTTGATTGTTTATGAATTAATTTGTTCAAATTGAGTTATTTTGGTTAACTATAGTTAATTTTGAAAAATGTGGTATGGTTAATTGTAGTGAAATTTTAAGAATGTATTAAAATAATATTTAAAATAAAATAGTTAAAATTGATTTGATGTAAAGGAAAGAGATAAATGATTGGAAATTATTGGAAATGATAGGTAGTTAAAATTATGTGAGTGGATGAATAGTAAATTAAAGTTGATGTGATGTGTAAGAATGATTTGTTTGTATTATTTAATTATATGAATTATATTAAAGATAGTGGGGTTGGGTTAAAGTTGAGTTAGATTTTGAGTTGAAATAAAAGTGAGTAAATTATTTTGTAAACAATCACCCTCTAAACTACTAATCGAAAATCTGGGAATTTGAGAATTTGTTGCAATTTGAGGACTGAACGCGGTAATATTAAATCACGGGACCAAAAAGCAAGCGAAATGTTAGAAGTTTGAGACTAAAATTGTTGTCTCAAAAATTGTTATGCCATTAAACCATCATGGCTAAAAATGAATTTTGCCTACTTTGTTCCTTCCGTTTTTATTTATTTCGCTTTATATTTTTGTTTTCCAGGCTGCAGATTTGCTGAAAAGTCCGCTTCTTCGCCCCTATATACTCGACATTCATCTCAAATCCAACAATCTCAGACGACACACTTTTCCACCTCAATCATCAGAACCTAATTTTGTCAAGAAAACGAGATTTACAGAGTATGAAGCTGTTGTCAAAAGGGAGAAACTTCTATCGTTCGGCAATGATAGGGCTCTTAATCCCAGCATGTTCGGCAATGATAGGGCTCTTAATCCCAGCATGTTCGGCAATGATAGGGCTCTTAATCCCAGCATATCGGAAAATGACCTGAATACTCATTGTTCCTCTGAAAGAGCTCGCAAATCCTTGAGCCAATTGAATGAGAAATTATCCGACATTTCAGTCGAGGACATGGGTGTAAAGAAACCGGTTACGGCAAAATTCTCAGCATTGAAATCCCCAAGAATGGTTTCGACGAAAGCTTATAATGCCAATCCCAGAAGACAGCCGTTGACTCCTTCGAGAATATCAAATCCTGGATCAACTCGTGAATTGGTTTGTTTTCCTTTTTTTTTTAAGTCCTTGACTATTTTCTTTTAATAATATTTTCGCACTTAGTCTTTTAAATACAAAAGAAAAGTATCGTCACATCATTCTCACACGTCACATCAACTTTAATTCACTGTTCATCCACTCACATAAATTTAACTACTCATCACTTCCAATCATCTCTATTACGTCAAATCAATTTTAGTCGTTTTATTTTAAATATTATTTTAATACAAAAACTCAAATACCACTACTCAAACCTAACTCAGCCAACTTTTCCGAAATTAATTGTGTTGGTTTGCTTCTCCGCGCATTTCTTTTCATGTTGTTCTTTTTCCTTGACCCGAAATCGAATCGAAATACATACGCATTTGTGTGTGTGTAGCTCCCGGTTTCACACACCCCGGCCCGAAAGCCCTCCCTCCCAATATCAAGACGGGCTTCCCCTAACACTCCCGGCCCGAACCTTCTCTCTGGGCCCGTTTCCCCAGACGTGTCGGTCAACGCCCCGCGAATGGACAAGATGGTCGACGAGCTCCCGATCCTTTCCGGGCCCCGCCGGGCCTCCTCGGTTTCCGCCACTAAGGACAATATCACGAGCGAGTGGTCGGAGAACGGCCGGTCGTCCTCCGACAACTCGCAGCGGGTTCGCAGGTTCAACACGCGGTCTTACCAACAGCGGGCGGAAGCTCTCGAGGGGCTGCTCGAGTTCAGCGCGCAGCTGCTGCAGCAAGAGAGGTTTGACGAGCTGCAGGTCCTGCTGAGACCGTTCGGGCCAGAGAAGGTGTCCCCGAGAGAGACCGCCATTTGGCTAACAAAGAGCTTCAAAGAAAATGTCGTATGATTTGGGCCGGGCCCTCGCCGCTTGTAGATTTAACGGGCTTTCTATAGTAGGAAATTGATGTGGATCAGGCCTTTGATGTAGATTAATGAGGCCTTTTTTTTTTTTTTTTTTTTTTAAGTGTTTTAAATACCGTATCGGAGTTGTAACGGTCTAGCCACGGGTAAGCATTATGTGCATGAATGACTTGTTCGTGTTAGAAGTATAACTAAAGGAGCTCTTGCTATTGAATAATGTCTCTTGTAATATCACGCTTTTAAAAAGATAAAAAAATAGTATATTTTTTTGATTAACTAAACTAGTAGTCATTTTGTCATGTAAAATGATACAATTATCTTTATTATCACAATTTGTTTTTAGAAATTCGATTTTTGGTAGTGAGAATAATTATGTCATTTCATTTCACAATAACTATTATTTTTACTTCAAAAAAAAATGATATTTTCGCATTTGTTAATTGGCTATAAAACTGAGTAATTGTTGTCCCTATTGTGTGTTTCTTGAGGTGTGCAATGAAAATTGTGTAAGCTATGAAATTTCTAGTTGAAATACTACACTATGTTACAAAATTTAATATAAACATTAAATTTTATAAAATATTGCACTGTGTTGGAAAAATAATATAAACATTGAAATTTATAAATAACACGTCGTTTTATGACATCATTTTATCCACGTAATAACTAATTGTACTTTCATGAAAATTCAGTACACCAGTATTGTTTTGAAGTTTGAATTTCAAAGTACGTTAAAATTGGTTAGTATAAAACAAATTATTTTTTTTTGAAGTTTATATTTTCAATATAGTTGTTTCAGTTCAATTAACATATTTGACATCTAACCAAAAAAATTAAAATAAAAATTGTGTGAGTTATTCTAAAAAGAACTTGTAATATCTAAATAACGTTCTATAGTATTTATGTTATTCTAAAAAAAAAAAAACCTTGTAGCATCTAAATAACCTTCTACAATATTTTTGAATCAAATCATTCATATATCAATATATTACAAATAACAAAACGTACATAAATAACAAAACTTATATAAATAACAAAACAGGAAAAAAAACTATTACCTTTCAATAGTAAACATGTATAAATAAGAGTGTAAACGTATATAAATAAGATAACCCAGTGTGTAATTGAGTGATATGCATAAATAATAAAATGTACATAGATATATAAATAATAAAATAAGAGAAACTAATAAATTGTTGAGTAGACAAATTTATGTTCAACATGTATGATTGATGAAATTGACCAAATTATGCCATTGTTTTGTTTTAGGACATTTGGGTGATACTTTATCGTTATTATGTACATTTTTTTTCTTTTAATTATGTTAGTTTGAAAATGCAAAATTATTGTAAAATATTGTATAGGTGATTGGAAATAAAGAATAGTGCAACAAATTTTTTATTTATTTTTTTAAATCGCATTGGATTTGTGGTGAAATTTGAAAAGAAATTAAAAATTACATTTAAGAATAAATTCAAATGTGATGGATTAACATATTTCGACATCGGATAGTTAGAAAAGTAAGAGAGCTCGGAGCTTAATCATATTTAAGAATCTAATAAATTATCCAGTGCAGAAAATGGGACCCCGGGTCAAACTCATGTCCAACACCCAAGGGGCGGATATCATATGATGATACTCCACACCCAAGGGGCGGATATCATATGATGATACTCCGACCTCGAGCGTCATAAGAGTCGGGGGGGAAGTTAATGCTTTACGGAAGACGAGTGTAATGTCCCAAATATTTTTAGTATTTATGGAGTTCGATTTTATATCCATAAATAACAAGTGTTCTTATTTGATACATTATTATTATTATTTAAATTAAATTGAGTAATTAGTATTAAATCTAAATTATTGAGAATTTATTCGATTTTTAATATTAAAATCGGATTTATTTAGTCCAAGTATGAGTTTTATTTTTAAGGTAAAACCGAGTCTTGGAATAATCAGAACCCTAGTTTTCTTATCCACTATAAACCGGCGACCTCCATCTCCTCTGGCGAAGCTCACCTCCACGCCGATGCCACTGTAGCCGTTCGAGAGGCCTTCCTCACGGCGTCGCAACTCCTTCTCGTTCATGAGAAGCCGCCGATGCAGCTCTCTCTCCTCGCAGCCGTCGCAGCTCACAGCCTCTCGACGCGGACGAAGCCCGCTGCAGCTCCGACCAGCTCTAATCCATAGCTCCTCCGCCCATTAAGCTCGCCACCACCTTGAGCTTCCATTTCCGACGAGTTCTCGACGAAATCCACGCTGGCGAGCCCTCACCCGCACCGTCCACCTCAGCCTCGCCGCAAATCCC